TGCGGACCGCAAACGGCGTGACTTCCTCAGTGACGTGGATGACCATTGATTCACCGGACATCGGTTGGAGTGAGTTCTTGCCGTCCGCCGTGAAGACATCACGGTATTCCTTGACAAGCTCTTGTCGCAGCTTGCCATGCTGCCGAACAGCAGACTTCGGATCCGTTGGCGACGTCCTCCCTTCTCCATCTGAACCGGTCGTGACGATGCTGTCAATAGCAGGTCGCTGACTTCCAGGCTGGGGGTAGTGGTCTGGTAGGATGGCCAGAGACTTGGCGGTGTACCAGGCCAACAGCATGCCGCGAGATTCCGTGAAGACGTACACAGTGTCTCGGATCAGCCTGTCTTGAAGGCTGATGAAGACCTCGAAGGTGCCAGTGCAGCGCATGGGTTGCAGGTTGGCAGCGGAGATCTGGATACTCGGCGGTGGCGACAGATCTTCCTGCCGCACACCGAGCTGGCGCGCCAGCTCAGCACTCATCACAGAGATCTCTGCGCCTGAGTCAGGCGTGGCATCGACAGTACCAAGGAGGGTGCCGTCAGCACGCCGAAGCTGAACAGCAATCTTCGGTGCCTGCTGAGTCTTGTGCAGACTGCCGACCACGACTTGTGGAATGGAGACTTGGTTCGAGTGCCGGTTTCTGCTCCGAGATCGCTGTGCCTCTGGTGGCTGGTGAGCCTGCTGCCGTTTGCGGCATACCGCCGCCAGATGGCCCTTGGTGCCGCAGGAGTAGCAGGTGAGATTTGCAGCAGGACATGACCTCCTGGGATGGCCAGTGCCGCCGCAGCCCTCACATGACCGTTCTCGTGATGGGCTCCGCTGATTCTGGCGTGATGACACCCGGAAGACGCTCTGATGCGACTGATGGCCTTGAGTGATGTCCTGCAGAAGCTGGTTGTTAGCTTGAGAGGCCTCCTCCGATCGACAGATGTCGATTGCGCACAGCAGCGACGGGAATGGCCGGAGTGACAGCAGCTTTCGACGTGTATCCTTGTCGCGTATCCCGGACATGATGCGCGTTGTGATGCGGTCGTCCATGCAGGAGGAGCACAGCTCGGTGTCGGCTGCTAGCTCCTTGATCGCGATCAGGAACGAGTCGAATGACTCTCCCTCTTCTTGGTGTCGTTCTTCAAACTTTACCCGGTCGATGGCGACGTTGTGCTGAAGCCGCAGATACTGCTCGATCTTGTCCAGCGATGAGCTCACGTTGTCCGAGTGCGGGCAGATCCCGACGGCGTGCAGACTGGCGGCACGCATGTCTTCAGTGAAGCACGCTCGCAGGTAGGCGAGCTGGTCCTCTTGACTAAGAGTAAAGATGCTCCCCAAGCGGTAGTAGTCATTCCAGGATGACCTCCAGAGGCGAAACTCACGGAGAGTGGCAGACGACGACAGCTTCACTGGAGGAGATACCGGTGGCCGCCTGGCCCCGCTGTCTGTATGAAGCGGCGCAGAAGCTGAAGCAGGAGCTAGAGATGCTACAGCACCGGTTGCAGTAGACGGTCGTGTCGTTGCCAGCTCTCCAGCCGCCTGTGGTGAAGTAACAGGATTCGCCGATTCCACAGCGCCGTCCGTTGTCGGTCCAGCGAGAGCCGTAGGATCTACCGCTGCAGCTATTGGCTTCTTGTCAGGTGCCGTTGTTGCCGTCAGACGGTGTTCTTGTAGTTCCTTGCGGAGAAGCTCGATGTCTTGCTGATGTTGTTCGTGCTGTTGTTGAAGCTGCTGTTGTAGCTGCTGCTGGAGCTGAGCCAGCCACGGTGGTGCCGAACTGCTGTCTTGGTCGTCGGAGCCGTCCATCTTGCACTTGGAGCGTAAGTTGTACGGCATGCGTCGCCGGCCAGCTGGATAGGCACCGGTGGCAACACCTCAGCTTACTTGCAGCAGGTCCGTAGATGTCGGCTGCGCCATGTAGAGTTCACAAGCCGGCTGAGCTGTGGAGGTGTATTGCACTATCACTGACCAAAACCAGACTGCCCTCTCTCTCCGATCCAGCACACACATCGCCTCGCTACATATCGGCCGACCCATCACACACTGACACATAACTCGGGTGGTGTGGCCTGATCACGCCACCCAGCCACCGACCAATGACAGGCGCCCACATCGTACCAGGGTGGGGTGACCCAGCACCCGGTCACATCGAGCCGGTACGAACCGGTACGGGGCGGCCCGGCAGGCGAGGCCCAAACCAGAACAGTATCCAGGAGAACTTAAAGGGAGATAATGACCTTTTTCCACAAAATCTGAGTTAGGACCATTGTCTGACAAAACACAACAATTTATAATGTAAATTAAAACCATTTTGCTCAATTCGGTATCTTGCCGCAAATATCTCAACTTGAAGTCACGTTAGCGGGGAGCGCTGAAAATGACCGTTGAATAAGTACTTACATCACTTTTTGGTACTTGCATGTAATTTTGTAAAATGAGCGTACTCCTTACATTTGATCTTCATCACATCTAGTTAGTTAATGGTCGTCTATAGTGCCTTCAAAAGAAATTCATTGTTTGGGGGTGGTTTATGTCTAAATTTACGCAACTATTTTTCCTGTTCATCATCTGACGCCATATGCTGCTATTTTAGTAGCAACGACTCAATTTTGAATCGGTCCCGCCGACTGCACAATAAAAGAAGATAGATACAACACTTTTGCGGCATCACTGAAACACTTATGCAGTACTGTTATCAAAATTCTCATAACACCGTTCGACAAACCTGAAGTCTTTTTGAAATAAATATGCTTGTATTTTTCGCTTCAGGCTCTGACGCCAAAACAATGAATTTCGTAGTCGCAATCGCAAGATTTGGCTGCGTTTCTGGCGCATGCCGTTCATTTGTGGCGCAAAATAATACTTGGAAACAAAGAAGAGTAGGCACTATGTACCCCCGAATTAGAATCTAATTAATTCTAAACCGAATTAACCCGGCAGTTGCTGGGGTATTTCGCCACCCACCGTTTGCTGGGGGGGGGGAGGCGTTAAACGCCCCCAGCCGATAACTCGAGAACCAATAGGCGCAGCGAAACGCACGAGGCGGCAAACGAAAGAACGCGTCGAGACGCTTCAGATGAGTACTTTAAAGTTGAATTTTGAGGTCACAGGTCGGGTCAAGGTCAGGTCAAAAACCTGAAATCGGGCTTTCAGTAGCATGGACTTCAGGACTTCGCAATGGGCGCCTCTCGTCATAAACTCTGTCAAAACGGTGCACAATCCATCATATAAGGCCTACAAGAGTGTCAGCTCCATGTAGGGGTCAGTCAAGCATAGGTCAGGGTCAAGGTCAGGTCAACCCGGTAGGCACATATCCTCGAAAATCAAAACTGATATTCGCAGCCTGTGACACATGTTTTATGGGTAATTTGGGGCGTAGAACACGATGGTGACATTCATTTTATCATATGTGTACGTGTTTGGCTCAAAAAGTTCAATTTAAGAAATGCATGTATCATGGTCGTGAAGTAGTCACGAGAAATTGCCAAGATTCAGTTCAAGATTTTGGAAAATGTGGAACGATAATCAATAATTGAAGATAGCCATTTGATTGTCCATGGTATTGGCAGTCTAATGGCGTTTACGGCATGTCTGTATGTCTATTCTGTGATTTTATATGATTTTTTGAACATATGCCGTTTTTTGTCGAAAACTCGGAAATCATGACGTCACTAAAACCTCGATATCTCAAAAAATTTCCGACCGATTTTTTTGAAACTTTGTCAGAATAAACTTCAATCAATTCCCTACAGGTACCCAAAATTTGGCGTGCCTGCGGCGCGCCGTTTTTATGCTATGGCCCGGCGAAAAAAGTGGGGACGTTTAACGCCCCCCCCAGCAACTCGCGGGTTAACTCTAATTCAAATTAGAATCCTTACAACCAAGCAACGACAAGGCGATAACATAAACAAAAACCCAAGCGTCGCTGTTTGAAACAAAAGCGCCATATACTGCGACTTTTTTATAGAGGACAACGCATTTCGGTGGGTGTTACAAGTACTGCAAGTACTGCTTCTTTTTTGCAAAAATAAAAACCTTTGTCACATACGAAAATGTGCTAGGAAATTTTCATATTTTATAGAAACTACAGTAGAAATAGTATAGATGTCGAGTAATTTTTATTTAAGAAAAAAGAAAGCTCATTATCTCCCTTTAAGTGTGACTTGTAAGTACACAAAACAAAACGAGACGACCGTTATACAAATAGCAAGTAATGTAAATAGCAAGAAAGTTAGGTGATTGAGCGATGGCGATGATTCAAAGACATACAGTTAGTACTGTACGTACTGTATGATGTTTATAGGGAGAAAAAGCAAAGCTTAACAAAAAGAAAAGGGCAAAACAAAAATGTGGGATAAAAATTCGAGAAGAAGTAAAAGACAAACAGGAAAAAGACATAGGACCACTAAATACCACCACCTCTTGTGGCGATCTAGGTACCCAGCTAGAACATACCTACCCAGTTACAGAGATGTACAATGTTCCAAGATTAGGTATGCCCTAAGTGATATGCATTTATTATAGACAAATTCTGTAATTGTGTACATATAACTATGTACTGTGCAAGTATGTACGTCCTGTGAGAGAGCGGGTAAAATACATTATCAGGTAAATGTACGTACATACCCACAATAAATCAAATGGGGGATCATTTCATTGGCAGGTATTCGTATGTTTACGAACGCAGGTGGAACACAAGAACAATAATGTCAGTGTTGGCAATGGTATCAGTATCGATCGATAAAAAACTGCTTTGAGAAATCCTTGATTTCTCTCTTTGTTAGTGGAACTGCTTCCATACCTGTGAACTTAGGACCAATTATTGAGTTCCAAATTCTAGGTGCAGACCACCTAGTAGTGTAGCTGCGATAAGTTTTTTTCTGAGAAGAACTCGTGGAAATGATGGGTTGAGCGAGTATCTCGAAGCGGTTCGAGTATCGTAAAAAGTCTGTCAATAGATGAAGGCAAAGTTCCTTTCAACTTTCTATGCATTAGAAGCATCTGCTGCTTACCAATGTCTCTCAACTTAAGAATTTTCAGTTTCTTAAAAATTGGTGCTGTGTGTGCGAGTCTATGTTCGCCATCAATCATTCTGACCACACGCTTTTGTAATTTCTCGAGCTTATCTACGTTTGTAATAAAAGTGTTGCTGTAAAGCATACAGCAGTAGTTGGTACTAGGGTGACCCGCGTGCTCCGCAATGCGAGGAAGGGTAATGTTTGACCCGTGGGTGTTAGGTTGGTCCTGTGTCGATTCGGTTGGTATCCATTTCGTTCGATTGTTTCATGACGGCCAAACATTTTGTAATTGAACAAAAAAGATCCATCGCATTGAGGTGCCCGTTTCGTATTATCATGCGGTCTACTTAAAGGTAGTGTGCCAGCTTTCCTGGACCGTATGGAGTTTAATGGCCCAGATAAGGAGAACTGGATTTTTAGAACTTATCCGTACCTTCAAAACTCATGGAAACGTCTTAAATTCTTCAAATTTTGAGTACCCCAGTGCGAAATTCGCCCCGACGGGTTGTCGGTCGTACCCCAACCACATTTCACACCACTATGAACAATAAAAGCACACACTGAAATCGCTATTACCGATATGCTCATCCAATCAAGTCTCGATAAACCCGTTCATCATCATCTCCTGCGGTTTCGAACACGCCTGTTAGGTGGTGCGGTAGACCGCGCCCAAAGCCAGGGCCCCGGTAACGTGAGGTAGCCGAGTCGGGGCAGCGTGCGCTGACCCAAGCCGGGGCCGCGCGTCCTCCCGGTGTCATGTGATAGCCCGGGGCTGCCCGCGGGGATGCGGTAGACCGCGCCCAAAGCTGCGGCCCCGGCTTGGGTCAGCGCAAGCTGCCCCGACTCGGCTACCTCACGTTACCGGGGCCCTGGCTTTGGGCGCGGCTTCTGCTCATACTTTGTGGTGCGGTGTTGGTGCGTCGGGCCGCGCGCTCTGACTTCGGCCAAGAAAAATGCGTCAGCTGATCATTGTCATTTCTGCCACTTGCGTGTGGTGAAATGGGGTCATAATTTAAGAGACGGCTTTTTCATATCAATTATTTTACATAAAATCATATTTCAAACCATAAATAATGTTCGACAGCCAAATAAAAGAAACAATACCAATACAGGCTTACAGTTTAAGGCTCGACATTGTGTTGTCTACGATTAGACAGCTGATAACTCATTCCCGTACGTCGTAACTCTATAATGACCTTTGCTTATTGTCACATGTGCGCCGCATTCGCGATTGTTGCCGACGCCTGTTTACAGGTCAGCCCACTACAATTGTTATACATATCGAAAAACCGATAAACTTTTAGGCGAAAAAGGCACTATTCCAGGCCCATTTTTGATTTTTTTTGCGATATTAGGTAAAAACAGAAGCTTCTTATCCTAGGAAAAATGATTCGAAAACTGGCGTGTGAAGTCTTTTGAGGGCCATCGATGAATTTCGCTAAAAATGGCAATGTAATGGTTTGGAACATTTACATTTTTAAGAATACTGTTGCTCATCATGCAAAAATGAAGACTGAACCTTGGACAGAATTGAATGCTCTTTCCAACGGTGCCATTTTTAACTGCCAAAGATATCAGATTATGGAGTAAAACCATTTTGATAAACAAAGTGGCACAAAATTGACAAACACCATTTTCTCCCGTGATTCGTACCACATTGATTTGGATCAATCAGCTTTTCACAATTTTTATATGATAGGCGGTACATTTCTCTTGACAACAGGCGTTGTTCCAACTCGCTCTGTTTAAAGGGACCCTCCCACCTTCAAAAAAGTTTATGAATTGGCATGAAAGTGATGTTGCTCGGTTCAGAAAGAGCGAAAACGAATATCTACCAAATTTCACCGAAAAATATTCACCGGTTTTCAAGATATTATACTTTTACTTTTGTTTACTTTTTTGGGATCTCCACTGTTTCTAGCGACTTTATTTTAGAAGTGCGGCGTTTGCGGCAGATGCTGCGCGCAAATAGCATATACCACCGCGTGCTACAAAACGTTTTAGTCAAACATTTAAAAACCGTTAGATGTCTGCGCTGACGTCACACATTCAGAGGGGTATTCCTAAGCATTAGCCCCTCTGAATCAAAATGCTGCAATTTTGAAATTCAATATTTCCGATTTAAGGCATTTCTCGATGTTGTGAGTGCCGAAACCGGTAATTGTGAGCCAGGGACCCCATTTTGGCTATCTCAACTCAAATCTAATGTTAAGGTGGGAGGGTCCCTTTAACGGTCACCTAAAAATAAAATCAATTCCAAAATCCGCCCTAACCGCAATTTTTCAACAAAAGTGCCCTTCCCGGTGCACGTGGCACGTGCCATCCTCTGCATCGCACACCATTCAATTGCCCATTCAAATATCTACACGATGCTGTTTTCCCCGTGCCGGTCGGACCCCTGGTCACCAAGATATTGCGCCGGAACCGGACCCGTGTCGGCCAAAATTAGCCGTTTTCGCCCGATTTCGCACGCCGATTTATACACGTAAAGTCTATGACGCGAATTTGCACTTTTTGAGCACGCGCCACGCGCTCCCTATCAATCTGATCGAGCTGAGACTCCTCAAAGGCACGTCGCGCACCCTGATCTATGAGTTGTGCAAATTTCACCGGGCTAGGTGCAACGGTCTGGCCTGTAGTCCACGCAAAGCACCACCAAGTCGGGACCTCGGTAACGGACAGACGCACCCTCCTCAAATAGTAATATAGATACGGAAGGAAAAGTGCGTTATATAAAAGAAGCAGCTGTTTAGGTACCAATATATACCTAGCTCTGCTTATGAGTCCAACGTTACGAGTCAGCGTTGTAGAAAGGTGTGAAATGTGTGATTTCCACTTCAGATCGTCATCTACGTACATGCCCAAGTACTTAACTGTTTTAACCCTATTAGTGGCAGGGGGGGGGTTGTTTTTATCCACCCCTCAGGTTTTTCGGGAATATCTCCGAAACCGCTGAAGCTACGATGCTGAAATTTTCTGACTTTTCCTAAAACTAAATTGGGCACATTCCCTGAAAATTTCAAGTTCATAACTGTACCAGGGGCGGCTCCAGAGCACTGGGAATTGGGGGGTCCTATTCGTGAAGCGAGTCATTTGGGCGAAGATCACGATGCTGCACCAGTTTTACGAACAGTGAATGAAAGGTATCATGTGATAACATATACAAAGTTATTGTGCATCCTCTTTTGACACGTTTTTGCTATAATAGGCGGATCCAGGCGTCCAAAAAGGGGGGTTATTTTTTACCTCCCAACATAGGTGCCCTGACACCGCCTATGCATGACCAATACAATTTTAGTCGTTCTCTCATAAGAAAATTGTAACATAACAAGACCATTGCCACCCTTTTTAGAAACAGTACCAACAAAAACCTTATTTACTATACTTTTTGTGTACCCCCAATCTCAATGATCTGCATCCGCCTATGATTTTTGAAAATGCATATTTTTAGGATCCATGTGAATTCCTGGTTCATTCTCTATCGATCGGCAAAAGTTGCGTTAAGATTGGTTCAGAAACCTGGCCGTGATAAACAGTCTAAAATGTATCTGCAATTTGCCCTTTTTTACCCCCCTCTACCCCCCTATTGACATTTTTAATTTTTTTTTTAGAAATGTAGATCTCGTTGAGCCAAATCGAATGCCGTTTGAATTTTGAAAATCGGCCGGTTAGATCTCGAGATATCAAGGGGGGGGGGGGGTCGTAAACAGCCCCCCCTGCCACTAATATGGGGTAGCCAGGAGCCTGCCACTAATAGGGTTAACAAATTTAATATGTGCACCAGAGAGCAAAACAGACACATTGACAGCGCGTTTTGAATTATTGTATAGCTGACAAAAAGTTTTGTCTGTATTTAAAGATAATTGGTTTGCTTGAAACCAAACAGCTATCTTGGGCATTGTGGCGTCGATGACTCTTTGCAAATGGGCTTCATCATTGCCTTCAATGAAAATGGTTGTGTCATCTGCATACAGATATGCAGTTATATCATCAGAAATGGGGGGAAAGTCATTGATGTAAATTAGAAACAGAAGTGGCCCAAGGATGGAGCCCTGGGGAACACCGATATCAACCGAAGCAAGGCTGGAGCGAACATGCTCTACCTCAACACACTGTGTGCGGCCTTCTAAATATGATTTCAGCATCATAAGTGCATTGTCACGTATACCGTAAGCATACAGTTTCTTAAGTAAAATGGTTTGGTTCACAGTGTCAAATGCTTTTCGGAGGTCAAGGTATAAGCCGCAGACAACTTTGCCTGCTTCAAATGCTTGGTTTACTTTTTCTTGAACCAAAAGAAGGGGCATGTAAGTGCTCATGCTTTTTCTAAAACCAAACTGAAATTCGGTGATGATTTTGTTATGTTCAAAGAAATGCTCAAGTCGGGTATGTACTAGTTTTTCTAGTATTTTCGATATAAAGGCAGTATGCTTATTGGTCTATAGTTTGTAAAACGTTGCTTATCCCCTGCTTTAAAAATTGGTTTTATAACCGCCGTTTTCAAAGGACGAGGGAACACGTTTTGGCGTAAGCATAAATTCAAGTGAAAGACAAGCTCTCTTAGGACAGTCTGGTAAGCTGCTTTAAAAATACATGCATTAATGCCGTCTATTCCACCACCAACTTTTTTGGTGCTATTTACTATCTCAGTAACTTCAATGTCATTAGTTTCGGTGAATGATGATAGTGAGTTTCCTAGTCCTCTAGGAAGATTTTCAATGGGGTCGGTGGAACAAGGAGGTATCCACTCTTTCAAGTCATTGCCAACACTAGCAAAGTATGAGTTAAAAGATTCGGCGATTATTTTTGGGTCATTTTCAACATCATCACCAATCTTAAAAGAAGGTGGACTTTCTTTTTTAATTATGTTTCCTTTCGTTATCTTATTCAGTAGCCGCCAGGTTTCCCTCAGGCCACAATCTTTTAGTGCATTCTGATAGTAAGTTTGTTTGGCTTTCCTCAGTATATGAGTGAACAAATTCTTGTAACGTTTGTAGTTGTTGATATTGAAGGGAGACGGGTGTCTATTCTTTATACGGAAAAGCTCGTTTTTTTCTGTTAATGGAAACCAATAAGCCATGGGTAATCCATGGTTTAACCCTCGCCCGTATTGGTGTTTTTCCAGCCGCGAACGTATAGGGGGGGGGGGTCCGTTGGACCCCCTTGCCGTTTCGCCCCTGATCGAGCTAGAGCTTCGCGGAAAAAAAACGAGCGTGTTGCCCGTGACGAGAGGAAGCCGATGATACCTAATTTTAAGGTCCTAGGTCATTGGTTGACCTTGCAGGTCAGGTCAATGACCCAAAAGTCGGAAAATCGGGACCTGTTAGAACGTCGTAAAGTGTGGCTGCTATGGGGTTTTTCGGGGCGCTGATCACGAATATCATGTTAGTTTTGACCACAGATGATGTCTTTATGCATTTAGTCCAGGTCGGGTCAGGTCAGGTCAGGTCAACCAGTAGGGGTCCTGCCGGGTATTCCTAGTAGGTGTCAACCGCCTCTGACAGCTTCGTAACATGTTACGAAGGCAACAAAACTACTTCGTAAATGTTCATATGGTTGCTAAATTCGAATTCAGCTCCAAAAACTGGCCTAGAAACATATAAAACTCGAAAAAGTGAACCTAGGTCACCAAAGGTCAATGACCTGACCTGACCTTCAGGTGACCTTGACACCCACCCTAATGCATGGGGGCAACATCATATCACATGTTTGAATGCTTGAAACCACGAAAAGACTGCAAACGCGCGGCTAATGCGAGCCGACATACGCCGAATCGCGATTCCGGCCAAACATGGTCTCGAAAAGTAGGTCACAGGTCAAAGGTCATTGGGGTCAGGGTCATGAAATTTTCAGGGTAGGTGTAAAATTGATTAATGCGAGGGTACTGAAAGTTTCGTTGCGATCGGCCGCTTTTTACGCGAGTTATTTCCGAAAAACCATGGGGGGGGGGTCCGTTCGACCCCCCCCTATACGGGCGAGGGTTAATAGGTGTCTTTTTCCGAGTGGGAGTATAGGTGTGGCTGCACCTAGATATCTCGGAAGTGTAGGCTTCTATGAATGTTGTACATGCGTGTTCCGCATCAGTTTCATTACAGAAGTCTCTTAGTTTCAACTGCAAATGAGTTTGCAAGTGAGGAATCATGTTATAGTTAAAAGAAGTGATGGTTTGCCTCATATGTTTATGAGAATTGTCTTTTCTGAGAGTAAGATCGACAAACACTGGGAAATGATCTCATAAGTCACTCAAAATAAGACCTGGGTCATTCAAGATTGAAAGGTTATTAGAGAATATATTGTCAAGCAGTGATGCACTGTCGACACCAAGTCGTGTAGGTCTAAAAATACATGGAAAGAAACCATTCGTGGTAAACATGTGCAGAAAGTTTTCAACAGAGCTATCTGTTGCAACTTGGAAAAGGTCAAAGTTAAAGTCACCGGTGATAATAGCATCCTTATGACATATACTAATGTGTTCAAGTACCTCAGTCATTTGGTCAATAAACTGTGAAGAACAGAGACGTGGGGGCCTGTAGACGACACCAAGTACAACTTGTTTGGATTGTACAGTACTTTCAACAAATAAAGATTCTGTCCCATCAATCTTATTCATTTTTAGAGGCGATGTTGAGCTTATGCACTTATTGCATATATAGATCGCAACATCTCCACCTGTTTTATTAGGACGACTACTAAAAATTGAAGTATAGCCTGCGAGATGCCTGTACTGCTCTGTGAAAGGATCTAGCCAGGTTTCTGTTAACCCGCGCCCCGTAGGGGGGGCCGAAACGGCCCCCCTGTCCTTTTCGGTCGATATCTCCTAAACGGCTGGAGATATCGCCACCAAACTTTCAGGACCCCTCCGGGCATCAATTTTACACATTGTGACCAAAAATTTTTCCAGAGGCTATGATAGGTTGGCCACAAATGACGTCAGAGTGACGTCATGTTCTGTCATTTTCGACCGAAAAAAAGACCTTCGCGAGTAGACCTGTCAGGACTACAGCTTTGAAGATACAGAAAAATGATCAGACATAAAAGGTGTAGAATTGACAGGGCTACAAAACTGCTCTCGAATTTTTGAAATTTTTGAGTTTTGACCCCCAAAAATCAAAAAAGCATTTTTTTGGATATATTCGCCAAAAAATCCAAAAAGTTTTTTGAGTTTTGAAAAAACCGGAATATATGTGATAGTGCCTACCGTCTTCTATCTACATACCAAATTTCAGATCGATACCTCGTTTTTTGGCCAAGTTATAGCGAAAAAAAACTGTTCAAAAATGATGACGTCAAATTTTAAAACTCAATTTTTGGCAATTCTAGAACTCGTAGAGCAAAACGAAGACCACCATTAGACTCCCCGTGACGAGCTGCATCGAATCGATACCCATTTTTTGCAAAAATATCAACTTTGAAATTTGACCTAATTTGACCTGACCTTGACCTGACCTTCACCAAAACGTGACCTAGGCTGGCCCCAAAGGCTGCCTAACCCACATAATCGCATTTGTCATGTAAAATGGACCATAAAACATGTATCACACGACACATTCATATTGTGACCCCCGGTGACCTGACCTCGCTGTGACCTGACCTGGTATCAGTGACCTCAGATAGCAAAGTATGTGTTTGACGAACAATGTACCATCGATGGTTTTCAATAAATTACCAATTTACTCGCTTTCACAGCACATTTCTTGAATTGCCTGTGAACGGTGAAAATCTGACCTTTGACCTGACCTGTGACGTCATCGGTTTGACCTAGGTCAATGAAATTTGGTCACAAGGTAGTTGCCAGGTGGGGCTATCGAACGCCGTTTG